TTAAATCCAAATTTAATTACTTTCATTACCATTAAAAACAAACATGAATAATGCACCAGAAAATCTATAAATGGAGCTGAATTAATTTCCAGTATTATATATAAATCTTGCTCAAAGATTTGAAGATAGTGACTTTATTAACTTTTTATTTGTACTTCTGCCAAAAAAAATTCTGCACTAAGAATAATTGCTTTGTTTGAGAATACATTTATATCTGAACAGCTTTTTTTCACGGTTAAAAATTAATACAAAAAGAACCTGATTGAGCAATAAGCATCAACAATTTGTGATGAAGATAATTTCTCTTCGAGGTTACAAACTTTAACAGAACCGAAAAACCATAGAGTGTCAAACTAGTGAGAAATAAAAGTTTAAATTACTTGTGTAGAAACATAATTAATTTTATTTATGCATTAAAGAAAAGATTGATAAATAAAAAGACAGACTTAGTTGTCATTATTTATTCTCAAATTTTGTCTCACTTGAAACGTTTTCTCTGAAAACATTCATAATTTATTTATAATCATTTTAAAACTGGAGAAAAACATCTCAATTCAGTTGTTTATTAGTGCTGTTATTGATTGTAGTGAATTCGCGGTAAGATCGGATTAGCTTTCTCTGTGTTTTGAACTGAGTTCTATTTATATTTTAGTAGTTTAAAATATAACTACTGTGAGGTATTGCGATATTGTATGAATATCTCTGAGGATATTAAATTTTATCAACTTGTGCGTTCAATCCATTACAAACCCATATGCACACAACAGTACAAAGTCCGAGATCCGGAATTATTGGGATTTTAGCAATTGCAAAGCACACACACACATGCGAACATTTTGGCTTCACTTATCATTTAGCTAATTCCCAAAAGAGCAGCATCAGAGCAGTTGCAACCAGTGCCGCCACACCGAGCATCAGAATTTAGGGGTTGGCAAGAAGTTAAAAAATTTAGAGGAGCACCACAAACAGCCCAAATTAGGGATAGCAGAATTTTTAGACTTTATGAAAGGCACTGGGGTGTAGAATTTAGGGGCAGCAGAATTTTTAGAATTTAGAAAGGTACACAGCAGAATTCCGGACTCCCAGTGATTACACCGAGCAAAAAAATTTTGAGCACCAGCCGTGTTCTCCCTGACATCACACTTTAGGGCTGAAAGTATGATCCAAGTAAACATCAACACAATACCAATCAAATACATTGTTAAGACACAATAACACGCCGAATAAATACTAATTCAGAAGTCAAACAACAAAAATTAGCGTTATATTTTCAAAATTTTCACAGGACTAGTTTCAATGGCTTTACCGACCCACCATCCTCAGCTGCAAAAATGAACAAGATAGGAAATAATGATTAGATAAGATAAGAAAGCCTGGACAAGAATAAGCAAGTGGCCCCATCTGTTGATGAAACCAGAATTAAAACAATTTCTTTAACCCGCGAGAAAGCGCGTGGGGTGTATCATACCCCAAACCTACATAAAAGTGGAATATTCCTAACTTGTGAAACTGAAATTCTGTGCTGCTTTCAGTAGCTGAGTTTCTAGTTGTGGTTGACTTTCAGAACCGCTTTTTCTTTGCCTGTGTTTTTCAGAAAAAGATTTATCGGTATTTTGTTGGAACTGGGGTATGACACACCCTACGCGCCTGTTCATGTAAGTGTATTTCTGACTGAATATTTAGTTCAAAAATTTATTTCTAGAGTGTAACAGCAAATATTTCTACTCGCAAGTGATTTTAAAGTACTTGACATTAAATTCTTAAAACTTTCTAACTGCATTATGGTAAAAAGAACGAGTCCCTATGAACTGGAGATGCAAATCATGTGAGATTTATTAGAAATATTTGAAAGCGATGAAGATTGCATTTCGGAAACTGAAGGTGAAACTAAGAATATTTTCTACAATGTTTTGGTTTCAAAAAAGATAAAACATTAATTCCTGATGTTCCTAAAAAAGGGAAAACTGTTCTTATGCTTTCAACATTATATAACGATCATACTACAGATGATACTATTGGAGAAAATAAAACGTCAGGAATTATCTGTTTTTATAATATGACTAAAGGAGCAGTGGATATGGGGGACGAAATGTCAGCCAATTATTCAATTGCCAGAATAACAAGGAGGTGGCCAATGGTAATTTTCTTTTCTGCACTGAATGTTGCTGTAATAAATGCTTGAATTATATTACATTCAACTGCTAACCCACCAACCAGAAACAAAAGTCTGTTTTTGAAAAACTTGGCATTACAATTAATGAAGAATAGTATTGAACAAAGATCAGATATTAATACTTTTCCAAGAAATTGACGTACTGCATGCAAAACAAAAGCAGAAGTTTTGACAAAGAATTAAAACGAATACATGAAATTCGAGACAACTAAGTATGAAAGATGTGATAAATTTTTTGCCCTCGCGCCAAGGACAGAAGAACGTGAATGCAACGTTTAAAATGTGAAAACATTCTGTGCCAAGAACACATGAATGTATTTCGTTCAAAGTGTGAAGAAATAAAATAAGCATGGTGTATTAGAGATGTAATGAAACTTAAGAGCATGGTGTATTAGAGATGCAATGAAACTTAAAAGCATGATGTTTATTTTTTTATTATTTTCATTTATCTTAATTTTAACTCGGTTTATTATTATAAGATTATTTCGGAACTTAATTTTTTGAAACCCAATTATTATTCACTTATTTATAATACACGAGAACAAAAAAAAAAAGTTTTAAAACTAAATAATACTATTTTTATTGTATTTTAAATATTGGGGTATGTGATACCCCACACGTCCACTCTAGCAACTTTTCTTGTGCGACTTCCGCCGGGTTCAATCTTTGCGTTCGGCCTTCAGGCCGAAGGCAAAGATGGATTGGAATTAGGATCGTTAACTAGAACAGAAAGATTTTTTTGAATGTGAAATGCCTCTAGAAAATCCAATTCTTCAATCGAAGATGTTTTTTGAATAATTTTGGCAGCAGAAAAATTGAAAGTTCAAGAACTCTATTTAAATCATCTTTATTACCTTCAAACAGGGTAAAAGTTTTGTCTACGTAGCAGAACCATACAGGGAAGTTTAAAGTTTCAAACAATTTTGATTTTCGGACCAACAATAGAGACAGAAGTCTTCTGAGCAACAGAAGACTTCTGCGTTTCCTTTTTTCTAACATATGCCTCATGTTCCTTGACGCGAAATTTTAAGGCTCTCTTAGTTTGGCCATTGTAAATTAAACCAGACTGGCAAGGAATCCTATAAATACCCCAGGAATTCATATCCGGAATGGGGTCCTTGAGTATGGAACTCGGAATTTTATTGATGGGAGAATAAACAACCCGAAAGTTAAATTTCTGCAAAATATGTGCAACTTTATAGCTAATTGATGGAAAGAAGGGAATGACAACAGAATTTTTATAATCTCCTAAAACAAGAGTGTGTCTTTTAGTGTGTTGAGATGAGAATTTAACTGCTTGATTAATAATGTTGGGTGAAAAGCCCCTGTCAATAGCTATTGCTTTTAAATAATTTAGTTCTTCATCAAGGGCTAGTTTGGAGGAGCAAACTTGAAGAGCACGGAAAACTTAGGAATAAAATGAAGCTAACTTTTGTTTAGTCGGATGGCATGATTTAAAGTGTGATGGAAGGTAAACCATAGTACTGATGTTGGATGTCTTACGTGTGACCCAAATGTCGAGAAACAGAAGAGAATTGCAAGTCTCAAGTTCAAAAGTGAACTGAATAGCAGGATCAATAGAAATAAACAGGGTAAAAGTATTGTCTACGTAAGAGAACCATACAGGGAAGTTTAAAGTTTCAAACAATTTTGATTCATAATAATGCATGTAGATATCAGCCAGGATGGGACTGAGGGGGCTTCCCATGGCTAATCTCCTCAGTCTGCTTGTAATATTTATACTGTATATTACATTCATTCATACTTCATACTGTATAATACATTAATTCCAAAATTTCTAGATTCTTTTAGCTTAAATGCATTATCTAATCTCATACACAGATCTAAGAGCTTCCTAAAATAAAGTTTTCTTACTATCCACAAAGATTTTCGGAAAAAAATATTTTTCTTATACGTTAGGAACAGATCACATAAAAAACATGCAATGTTTATAAATTATTAAAATGAAAAATCATACAAAAACTTTTTAAAGAAAGTTGCAAAATATTTCTTTACAAATTTTGAAAATATGGTAATGTTTTAAACAGAAAAAGGTGACAAATTCTGAAACATAAATGATATGCTTTAGTTAAATGATAATAATATTTGATGTGAAGTTTATTAAAAATATGTAGGCATTAAATTTAATAGAGTTTGTTATTTTATTCCATTCCAAAAATCAAAGCTTTATAAATATGCCAACATGCAAAAGGTAAAAATAATTATTGATATTTTTCACAAAACTCGTAACTTTTACTTGCAAATTTCTCAAAAAATTCTACAAATAATAAGTACATTTTTATGAACCATACTACTTTAAGAAAGCTACGATGTCAAACCTTGCTTAGTATGGTTATCAATCGGGAGGAAATTTTAGATTTTCAACAATAAAAATGGTTGCTAGGCAAACTATTTAGTAAAATATTTTCCTCTCTTTCTGAAAACATGTTGCTGATAGGACAGTACCATGTACTGTCTTAATTCTAAAGTATAAATAAATATTTAAAAATATAAATTTTAAATTAATATTAATAAAAAACAATGATATGTCTTGCTATTTGCTTAAAAACTAAATGAAATAGCAAATATTTATAAGCTCTTGTTATATATTTTCGACAAATAACAAATTAAATATTAATTATGAAAAAATATATTCGGATTTCATAAGTTCTCCTTTCATAAAATATGCAAAAGATATTTAGAATATTTATATAGATATGTAAGCAATTTTTACTTCAAATAAAGTGATATAATAATCCTCAGTTATTACAATTTTTATAATATTAAGATTTAATTTAGAATCACAATTTATATAATTAATACATACTTTATCAATCACCCTTTTACTGCTCTCAGGATTAGGGACTGCTTTGCATGAAATAAGGCTCAGTAACAGGATTAAAAAGCAGATTCTTATACATAAGGACATTATCTAAATGTGAAAAAAGAAGGAAAAAATATCCCATTGTAATTTTTTTTAATGTAATAAAAACATGAGTATCATCATATTCATTTTCAAAAGCATAATTTTAAATGAAAATACTAGGAAGGAAGAAATTCAATATATGTTTCGAGCAAAACGTTATGCATACCCTTAGAAAATGACAAAGATCAGTTCTAAAAATTTCCGCTAAGAATAATAATAGATACTAAAAAAAAAAAAATTGTCGGAACAGGCAACAAAACCAAGTACTGAAAAAAAGACAAAAAATCTCTCCCCGACCTAATAAAAAGGCATCTCAACAATCTTTTTAGCAAAGGCTGTTTCTGCAAATAAAAATTAAGCACTAAAGTTACAGAATGAACTTTTAATAAAGAATTTACAGTAAAAAATTACAAAACAATTTATGTAAACAAATAATACATAATTATTCATTTTTTAACAATTTGAGTACAATGCTACCTTCATTAAAAACACTTACAAGAACTATTACTAACCAAGTTATTTCAATAAAAAACAACTCGCCGGTCAATGCTATCCGTGTGGTGTGCAAAAACGCAACTGACATCTGACAGAAGTTAAAAAGCCACGTATCACAAGCATGCACTTGGGGGGGGGAGGAATTGTGCACTATTTTAGCACTGACAGAATAATTATTTAAAAAATTATACAGCTATGCTTATTTTCCTAAAATATAATTCTTTTACTTTTATGAAGGCAAATAATTTTTATTTCGTATTAAATAAATGTGTTAAGTTTAAAGTACTTCCTTACTTCTCAGAATCTCTCAGAAGGTGGTTCTTTGACGAAGAATAATCTGAATCAGCTTTTTCTGAAATGTATCAAATATTTTGTTCTGTCAAATTAAAAAAAAAAAAAAATCTGTTTCATCTATTAACCTTAATATAATTACTTGTAATTTGAAATATGACTAGTACTCACAAAAAGCAAATAAAGTAACTAAATTACTGAGAACTAAGTTTTCTGAAAAAATGAAAGAAAACAAATCAGTAATTTGCATTGGAAAAATCCTATAGTTGTTAATTACTTATTTCCAATCTGTGTCATATCTTATTATATAAGTGCCTTGTCATACCCTTGTATACCACTATCCATATATTATATATCAGTGCAAAATGGCAGACCTTTGCCCATAAAACTAAAAGCAATCTAAGATTAGATTTTGTCCATCTTGAAATATTATATATTGGTAAACTTTGCTCTCGTCTGTAACTTTTTATTGTACTGTTTAATTAATACTTTTACGAATACGTTTTACACGTTCTCTGCAGTTTTAAGTTTCTGAATAATTTTATCATCTATTGCTAAACTCAAGAAATAAAAAAATAACCTCCTTTTAGTTTAGTAGGAAGTACCTTTTCTTTGAAATAAATTTCATTTTATTCATGTTTTAATTAAAAATATAAATGTGTCTTTGCCGCCGCCACACAACATCTCATCTCGAGCGAATGCTTTTTTTTATTATTTCGTTAAGGGGCGAGTTGAAATTGTAAATATGCCGGTGTGAATGAGATGCAAGAATCACTGCAATTGTTCTAACACTCGAATATTAAAAATTAATGAAAAGGTCAGAAATCATTTAGTGTTATTTGTTTTTCGTGTGAGACGTTTTTGTTCCGTTTTTGATGTTTGTCTGCAAATCTGATTAATTTAAATATATTACTGTACAGCATGTCTAGCGCTCGTCATAATTGCCTAATAGTTCTGAGTGGATGCAAAGAAGGTGAGTTGATTGTTTATCTTATTTATGTTTTGTTTAATAATGCCAAGTTCATAATATCTCGGATTTTCCTTTTCAGATTAATTTTTTTATTCATGTTTTAAAAAAATAACTTATTCTCTTTAATCATCAGAATTTTTGTGTTGTAATCTTGGGAGCTTTAACAGAAAAAAAAAAGAAATTAAACATAGATGTAATTTTTTCTGTGTTTTATTGGCATGTTATTTTCAATCGAGCTGCAGCATTCTTTATTTTTTGCATGATTTTTTTGGGGGGATAGGTTGGGTTGTATCCATTTTCCGAGTGAAAATCTAGTTAATGCACTAGTAGAAACAGTTAACATATATAAAACGGTTTTCACCGCACCCGTTGGCGTTTCGGGAAAGAACCCTTTGGCGCCGTTTGCATTTTATCGCCATTTCAAGTTACAGACAATGTGTAAAATTCACAGATAATAAGTAGATATAAAACTAACAGGTTAAACGTGATATACGAAAAAATTCTATTAAATTCAAGTAGCACAAAAAACAATGATTAAACATAACGGGAAGTAAAAATTAATTTAAAAAATAAACAATTAGTATTCTTATACTTTACGTTTACAATATACTTATATGTATTTCTCTAATTCATATAGAATACTAATATTTCTATTACAAATGTCTTTTTTCACTATTAATACTTTGCGTGTTGATTGATGTATTTCGGTAAGAGCCATGCCCATGTAATAAATTAATGATCATACCTGTATTTCGGTAAGAGCCATTAATAAAAGAATGCATGACCTTTAATAGAATAAAGCAAGTTACAAACAATACTTGCATCAATAAAGTTGAAAACAATACCTATCTTTTTCAAATATATTTCACAAACAAAACCTTAACAGTATCAATTTACTTCAAGCATTTTTAATAAAACTAGAACTTTATACATTTTAAAATTATTATAGGGGTGGAAAACCTATGGATCTGTGTGCTTCATGTTAATAATTAGAAATAAGGAACAGCATGTACATTAGCATTCACCCTTCCCCCCATAATCTTCCTTTGATCTGAACTGACGACCCGAGAACCGGCATCTTTCAATGAAAACTTCTTTAATAATGCGAAAATATTTCTATCTATTAGTTGTTAAAATTCAGAAAAAAAAATATATAAAAATAATATAAATCTCCAAATGCGAACAACGACAACCTATAAGCGATAGGATGAATTAGTAGGTACATGTTAACATTATCGCCAAGTTGGAATGTCCGGGTTCTCTGCGGAAGTGCTTCCATATAAATACTTGACGAAATACTGATGTTAAATATAACACATGCGTAGCATTTTTTGGGAAAATACATTTTGAAGCACATACATTAACTACTTTAAAGCACAAAATAAGCTCTAAAGCGAATGAGATGATATTCCAAAAAAAGGAAGCAGGAATTCTATCAGTCTTATTAAATATTTTAGAGACATTACCATATCGACTAACCATATCTTCATGGCATCTGAATTCATATATAAGAAAATGTAAATTTTTCATTGTCTAATTGTTATAAAATATAGAAATAAGTTTTCATTTACCTTTATTTTTTGTGTAGTGAAAATTCTTTGATGAATTCATAACAAATTCACATGGTTAAATTCCATGAAAAAAATCTTTTTCCAAATTCAAGTCTCGGAGTCATCAAAAGACCTTCTTTTTCACTTGTAAATCGTAAGAAATTATTAAAGATTAATGAAAATCATTTTTAAAAGATAATAAATTTATTATTAATCATGCTAAACTATCAAAACAATGGTTAATCATTTATTACTGTATTGTTAGATCTAATACATACATAGGATTAGAAGTTAATCATTTATTACTGTATTGTTAGATCTAATACATACATAGGATTAGAATGAAACATTGAAAAGAATGTAGACAGAATACATCTTTCGCTCCCCAACGATCTTTTTTAAGATGCTGCATTACCAGTGATTAAAATATTGCTAAGAATCAAGTGGGCTGGTGCTGTAGTGAAGATGAGAAATCAAGAGGAAAGATTTATTTTCTAAAACCTATTGTAAAATAATTTTTAGTCCAAGAGGCAATTTGCCCAGAAGGACTATTAATTTCATTTTGCGTTGGTTCACTATAAATGTTGGTTCACTTTTCAAATTGTTGTATCAAATGTTATCGCCCTGTATTATGTTTAAAGAAATTAAATAATGAAGAATCTACATAAATGTCTGTATGTTTCTCGCATTGTGATAAACTAAAGGTACCTAGAGCCAACAAATTTTGAATAACGTATATTTTCACCCGAATATGGGCATCTGAAAGTCCAAATTTGGAATTTGTTTTATTATCTATTTCATATTTTATAAAACTTTGAAAATTTTTTGATTAACAAACTCAACGATTTCGAAGCAAGCAATGGCAAAACTGTATACGGAAGGGGAAAAAAATTATTTTCAGTGCATGAAACTACGTATCGGGAATTCTAAAGATGTGCTCATTTAAAAATTATTTTGCGATATTGCTGTTTATGGTTTAAGTGCGAAGAACATGCTATTTAATAAATAAAGATATCGCACAAATCGTTAAAAAAAGTCCCTTTGGGTGTAATGTAAAATTTGAAAGTTTTCAATTTTTTTTCCTTATATTAAAGTCGTACTTAAATTTGAAATAATATGGATATATATATAAACAAAAGAAGAAATATATAACAGTATCACAAAATTTTTATAGAAGCGAAAATATCCCATTTTGAGATAGACTATTATAATTAAATAATTTAAAATCGGTTAATTTTGAATGAACAGAAATGTGGTGGTTTTCCTGGGAGGAAGGATTCAATTGAGTCTGATCTAGCCTCTCTTGATAACATCGAATCAGATTTTGATTTTATTCCTCTTCTTATTTTTGATTTTTTTTTATATCTCCCCATTGTTTTCAGGAATTCTTCTGGTTTGACAACAATTAGTTGGAAGTTTTTTTGCATTTTACTGGAAAGTTTTGGGATTTTACTTATTTTGATTTTAATTTCTTTCATGTCTTTGTGAATTAGATTCTAAATTTCTTACTATGTTTTCTGTTATATACAGCCAAAAGTCGTTAATCCGGACTCGTCAGGACTTCGGCGATTCCGGATTATCGATTTTTCCGGATTATAGATCATCAGTTTAAATCTGGTAAGATGGCATGCAGAAATTATAAAATTAAAAATATGAAACCGTAATTTATGAAATAAAGAACAATTATAATCTAAAGGGTATCAAAATTTACGAAAAGAAAAAGCTTAACATTTATTTGTTTACTTTATTATTTCTTTCAATGTAAGTTTTTTAAGTTATTTCGTTTTTTATGTGATAATACTTTCTCTTTAATTCTATAAACAGACATAATTTCTTGTTCAGTTACAAAGTTCCGCTGTTCAAGTCCTATAATTGCTGTGTCGAGAATACCGACTAATTTGTCAATTGAAATTTTTTCGTTTTCAATAACCTCTGTGTCACTTTCTTCGCTATCGGAAGCGAATTATAATGACGAGGAATTTGATTTAAATCGTATCAAAGACGGAGTACATCGAGATGAAATACTACATTTAGTAAGGAATTATAAGCCAAATAAAATAAAAACATCTGCCCTGAAGATAAGGATAGTGTTGACAGATCAACTTCCAATTCATTGCGCGCCACGGCATTAAAGATAAACAAACGTTAAAGTTTAGATAAACAAAGGATATGCCTTTATCCATTTTTTGTAGCAATTCCACTTTTTGTTTAATGGACTTTGAAAACATACTTTCGCTTTGTAGATCCTTTACTTATTAGTAAATATATATCAGAAATTTCTATTTGACATAATCGAAAGTTCAAGCTTACTTTTATAAAATTGCTCTAATAGTCTGCAAAAAATAATAAGCCGAATCCAATTCGAAGATTAAGGAACAACGCAATCTGCAACATTAACTGAATAAGATAATTTTAGCTTAGCTTATACCGTCCGTTATACACTAAATGTGCATTCGTAAACGTATTTTGCGCACACGCATTTTCGCAGCCGTAAAGGTCTTACGCGCATGCGCAGAAAGTTTGTAGCTTTGAGGTCCGAATTAACGACTTTTGTGCATTTTTGTAATTTTGATTACAAAATGTTCTTCCTAGCATTGAATTATTTTTTATATGTGCAATTCTGATATTGAAAAGTATTGAGAATAATAAATACACTATATAGGTACTTAGATTTTCTAAGATATTTGATATGAAATAATATCATCATATAATTTTAGTGTATTTTATGTAAGTACAGTAGAACTCCAGATGCCCAAATTAAATGTGACTCTATCCACATACTTAAAGTCCCAGATAATTTTGCCTTTTACCCACAGGTCTGTTTGTTTTTAAATTTCTCCTCATTTTCTTTCAACAAAGATAGAATATTTACGTCAATAGAAATATTTGATTTCTGTAAAACTAAATGTGTGATACACTATTTCTGACAAAACTAAATTAAAAAATTATGTTTCTCTGTCTCTATCAGAAATGTTTTGCCAGTGCTGTTTTGGCTTATGAGGAGATCCTTGCACAGAGAATAAACTGATAAGATATCACTGCATTTGCCGGCTGATCTTTACTGTACGGTACCCCTTAGTTTCTTTCTGAAAAAAATCCCAAAGCGGTATTGTTTGTTCAGAAAATATGGAAGTCTCCTACGCTTTTTTGTAATAGTAACCGTTTTAACTTTATTTTAGCTTTGTGATTTTGTTTAAGTGAAAATGGATCGATGTGTACATGGCAGTGTGCAATGTCTAGTTTGTGCAATTCTCTGATGTTTTTTGAAGTGAAAGTAGGTTGATGTGTGTATGGACATAGAGTTTACATAAGTCGTTGATTTCTTGTTTTGGTTTTGTGTAGTGGCCGTCTTGAAATTGGTGCCAATCCTTCCTGGAGCAGATCTTGGCATCAAAAAAGATACAATTCGCCAAGGGGTACTGTAGAGTAAATTTTTATCAATAAATGCATTGA